TTGCTGCTCACACCTGAGTCAGGTGGAAAAAAATTGAATATAGCAACAAACATGTCAGAACTGCTTTGGCGTAGTAGTTACAGCCTTTTCCCACAATACGGGGTTCTGGTTTCATTCTCAGCGCTAGTATGGCTCCTTACGCAGTCGATCGGGCTCTTAGACAGACCAAGCATCATAAAATGTTTGCAAAGAGTTTTCAGAATTGTGTGTGTTTTGTATTGGAAAGAAACGGCAGCGTAAAAAGGTAGTTGCGTGAATATGTAGAGACTTCACATTTAATACTTAGCCTTGGGATAATTGTGAGGGCATAACAACAACCTATAGGAATATGTACAGTATTGACCTATAAAAGCTCTGATTTTGGAATCTGTGAAGTTCTCACACCTAGCTATAGGAATATGTACAGCATTGACCTATAAAAGCTCTGATTTTGGAATCTGTGAAGTTCTCACACCTAGCTATAGGAATATGTACAGTATTGACCTTTAAAAGCTCTGATTTTGGAATATGTGAAGTTCTCACACCTAGCTATAGGAATATGTACAGCATTGACCTTTAAAAGCTCTGATTTTGGAATATGTGAAGTTCTCACACCTAGCTATAGAAATATGTACAGCATTGACCTATAAACGCTCTGATTTTGGAATCTGTGAAGTTCTCACACCTAGCTATAGGAATATGTACAGCATTGACCTTTAAAAGCTCTGATTTTGGAATATGTGAAATTCTCACACCTAGCTATAGGAATATGTACAGTATTGACCTTTAAAAGCTCGATTTTGGAATATGTGAAGTTCTCACACCTAGCTATAGGAATATGTACAGCATTGACCTTTAAAAGCTCTGATTTTGGAATATGTGAAATTCTCACACCTAGCTATAGGAATGTGCACAGTATTGATGTACCTTTGGAATATGTGAGGGCATAACAACTAAGCACTTAGCTTTAGGAATATGTACGGTTCTAACCTTTATTGTTTCTAACTTTGGAACATGTGAAGTCATGACACCGAGCTTCAGGAATATGTAAAGACACTACATAAACACTTCATACTTAGCCTTGGGGAAAATGAAAGATTCAACACCGAGCTTTAGGAATATATAAAGATATAACACATTGTACCTAGCTTTGGGAATATGAGAAAGCATAACAATGCATGTGGTTTGTTTCCCCCTGATACTCTATAATTTCGATACTATACACATTGTCTGGTAGGGTAAGGCAATGAGGGTATCTGGCAATCCCATCCTTTGTATACTAAAATAAAGGCATCACTTTTCACACACATGTGCAAAACTTGCTACGTTATGTTATGTTATGTTATCATCATGTACGTCACTACACATTGTGCATTCACATGCATGATCAGTCCTGCAGTGTAGCAGCCACCCCATGGTATCTCTGCTGATTGTCTCCTTGAGTTTTTGATATAATATTACATTTTTTCTTTAAAACTTCACACTAACACTGGGACTAACAAATTAGTTGTACATCCTTTACAGGAAGTTTCAGATTCAACCCAAGAAGTATTTCGGGTTTAGGATTTTACTAGGTCTAAAATTTAAAAAATACGCCCTGAGAAACTTATTTGTTTCTAGCTATGATTTGCTGATGCATATTCCCCATTTCTGGACCGGGAGTCCAAAGTTTCCGTCGCCCAGCTACTCAGTTGAGTGCTTGATCCGATACATTGAGCTGTGGATTTCATGTGACTTTTTTCCTGGTGTGCTTGAGACGTGTTGTTGACTGCACTAAAATGGCGGATTGTCCATTACGGTCAGAGTAGTATGTACTCTTGCGGGTGGAATGCCGGCTTTTGTGACTGACCTTTTGTGCCAACGGTGAGCTGCAATTCTGGTTTGTGACTGTTATGGTTGGCACATCTGAGACCTGCCTTATGAGTGTTATACTTTGTATGCCAAGCGTCGAGATTTTGCTGCTGTGACCGAAAAAGTGCTTATGTAGCTTTCAAATGGGACAGTTGTGACGAGGTGCTTTGCATGGTTTCCACGCATACAGAGAGCAAAGCTGAAAATCCGTGCTACAAGTGACAGCACGAGATACTTGTGGCTGGTCGAGTAAGCGAGGGGAAGCCCGAGCTAAACTCGTGGTTAGTTGATCATCAGAAGTCAGAGAAGACGGTTGTATTAGTACAAGATGTAGTCCCTATGACGTGCGTGTGACCAGTATTTGAATCTGTCGCGAGTGATAGAAGTCTGAATAATTGTTGAAACATGTGGAATAAATGTAACGGAATAAACTGATAGTATGTATAAAAAAGCCGAGTATTGTTTCTGTTATCAACCCTAGACTTTCGAGCAGTGCAAGTTTTTGGTGTAGTAATCATAGAGAGTGAACCATGGCGAAAGCAGATATGTAGCAAACCAAGGTACATTTAAAGTGGTCTTGCATTTCAATTCCAAGGTAGTTGAAAGCGTAGCTTCAATCCAAGCGTCAAGGTTCATTCCAACAGTTAAGCAGATTTGTTTTGATTTCAACGGGCACGGGAAAGGAGCAGTAGTGGGGCGACATGTCTGCAGTGATCTTGACACCTGAACTAACCAACTAACTACCACACAATATTACTTTCGGTAGTTTTCAGTGCTCCCCAAACTGTCAGCAATCAATACAATTGTTGAAATCAACGCAAAGCTACCCTGCCACATATCCTGCAGCTGGAATCGAACCAGACACCTTGGAATTACAAGCCCCGTATGCAGCGCCTAAGCGACTACCGCTGACAACTTTGGGAGTACCTTTTCCTTTACCAACATTCAGTCCAAGCAGAAAACGGGATAGAAAACACTCGTACAAATCAAACACGCGTATTTCTTTCAGTGCCCATATTTTAACGAGACAACTCCCCCATATGTTTCCATAAATCGAACATGAAGACGCCTCTGATTGAATTACCCCAAGCCTCAAGTCACATTCGCCGACACTACACCATTACCAGCGCTGCCAGATTTCTCTAGCAGTAACGTCTGAAGCCTCTTCAAATAACAAATTTAACAGATTTTCAAATAATAGCGTCTAGGCTTTCTCTTCAAGCTGACGCTGCCTGGACACTTGTTTCTCAATAGCTCTTTTATTCGCTTGCTGAGTTACCCCCCAAAAAAGTAACTTCTTTTTTTTCTCTTTCTGTCAGCCATGGCTAAAGGAGGTCGGCGCCCTAGTCGCTAATGAAAAGTAACGAGATTTCTTCCTTCCACAACACGATCTAGCTGTGAAAGGAGCAATCGGTTGGAGATTGTGGCCTCTCGTCCGGTTTTTTTCACGAGCGCATTCACGGCTCTTCACTGTTCGGCATCTCCATTTCCCTCTGGGGACTGATCCCCCGCCCGAGGGCTAACAGAGACCAGTAAAACTCGGCATAATATTTCAGTTTGTTTCTCGTCTGGCTGACAAGACTTGATAGCCGCAAGAGTCCAAGTTGGGGAATGGAGTTTGGAGAGTGATTTCAACGTCCACAGGTCGCTGAAGTTAATCTGTAGTATCTGAGAAAGGCCAAGGTTGAATATTGTGTCATTGCTTTTGATTAGCCGGCGCTGTGTTCGTTTATTAGTATGTCTGCTATTTTGATCAGTAGAATATAAGAAGGGGTGGGAGATGGGAGTGTTTATGAACTGTGTTGAGGGGATTGGGTATAAATCAAAGAGCCGGGGTTTTTCTTTAGGCTCGTTGACGTTGCCATGGATATGTTGACATTGATAACATTGGGATGTCTGCATATTGCTCCCCTTTCTCCTGTCTGTTCATGTCGGTATTTTCTCCAATCTTACTAAAGAGACGGAGATTCCTGTTTGGGTTCTGGGGTCCCCTTTGTGGGGAAAACAAGAATAGACCCACTGTCTCCCCAACAAGCATTTCGTAAGAGTCGACTAATTGGAGCTTCATTCAAAGTCGTATTGCATCTGCCCGATAGGTATGGAACCAACATTCTGCAAACATGTATTTAAGATCAGTAAAACGGATGTGTACGCAACACTCTACTGCTGGAAGGAAACTAAAGTCCAGAAATGGATGAGAAAAGCGAACTTTTCGCCTGAATTACAGCGGAGGACCGCGAAGAAGAAGAATAAGACAAAGAGCAAAAAAAACCACCTGTATATAGTGAGTGAGTGAATAAGTAAGTGAGTAAGTGAGTGAGTGAGTGAGTGAGTGAGTGAGTGAGTGAGTGAGTGAGTGAGTGAGTGAGTGAGTGAGTGAGTGAGTGAGTGAGTGAGTGAGTGAGTGAGTGAGTGAGTGAGTGAGTGAGTGAGGAGTGAGTGAGTGAGTGAGTGAGTGAATGAGTGACTGAGTGAGTAAGTGAGGGAATGAGTGAGTGAGAGAATGAGTGAGGGAATAAGTGAGTGAGTGTGAGATGGTGAATCAGTTAGTAAGGGAATTAGTAAGTGAGTGAGTGAGTGAGAGAGTGAGTGAGTGAGTGAGTGAGTGAGTGAGTGAGTGAGTGAGTGAGTGAGTGAGTGAGTGAGTGAGTGAGTGAGTGAGTGAGTGAGTGAGTGAGTGAGTGAGTGAGTGAGTGAGTGAGTGAGTGAGTGAGTGAGTGAGTGAGTGACTGAGTGAGTGAGTGAGTGAGAGAGGGAGTGAGTGAGTGAGTGAGTGAGGAAGTGAGTGAATGAGTGAGTGCGGAAGTGAGTGGGTGAGTGCGTCAGTGAGTGAGTGCGTGAGTGAGTGAGTGAATGAGTGAGGGACTGAATAATTGAGTGAGTAAGAAGGTGCGGAAGTGAGTGAGTCTCGGAGTGTGGAAGAGAGTGAGTGAGTGAGTGATGAGTGAGGGAGTGCAGAAATGTGTGAGTGAGGGAGTGCGGAAGTGAGTGAGTGAGGTTTTGTGGTGGTCGGTCCCTGCCCCTCTTTCCTGGTACCACACTTTCTGCTATATCCACCGTGGCCAAAATACTTGACAAGATGCAACTTACTGTGCAGTTTCTTTCATCGTCAAGTGTCGTATTGTCTTTATTACTTTATGTTGATGCTTTGTCATTAAAACTTCTATCTTCTCTTCACTAACTTTTATCTTTTTTTATTGTTTTTATTGTATAGGTACAGTAACAGTACATATCACATATACTGACGATGAGTTATATGTAAACAAAACCGTAATAAAATTAAAAAAAAAGTTGTTACAACTGCCGATTTCAGTAATGTACTCAGTAGTGTGTCAACAAATGTGATTACTTATGTCCCAAATAAAAATATGATTGCTTGGTGTAAAAAATGTGACTACTAATATGTCCAAACGCGTAATTGCTTTGTGTTCAAAAATGTTATTACACATAAATTAGTTACAGACAAAAATATTAGTGATAATACTAACAAAAATGTCATAGAGAAATGTATTAGTGATAAATACTGACAGAGAAAATGTCATAGAAAAAGCAATGTTATGCATATTTACGGGGAACAAAATCCATTCAAGAATATAATTGTAAGTCTATACTACAAGTCGGCGTCTGTGGCTTAGGCGCTACGAACGCGTAGTGTAAAGCCAGGGTGCCGGGTTCGATCCCAGCTAAGGGCCTTGCGCTTTGCGTTGGTTTCGATAGTGGAATCGAGAAGCCGAAAGAATCGCAAATTACTGGACGTAAACTTACCTAGGAAAACCACAACAGTCAAAAAATGGTGGGGTTGGTTCCGCGACGTCCTGTAAAGGATACGCAACTAACTTAACTATAATACAAACCAGTAATGACGGGAATGGGTAATTTGGTTTTCTAGTATTAGGTAAAGGACCTGATGTCAAGGCAACAATTATAAAAAATAAACTGTGCTACAATAAGGAGATATAAAAATATCATTTTCTAAATCAAAAATAAAATAATGTGAAAGTGTTTGTCTTTGCGAAACGCTAGCATCTGTTGAACAACATGAAACATAAATCTTTAAACATTAATCCTCAATCAAAGAAAACATAAGGAGGAATTTGAGATTAGGCGACCCAAGAAAGAAGTAGAAATCGAAAAACATAAGAGAGAAATGCGAAATCAGAAACCAAATAATTGAGAACCAGAAAACATCAAAACGAAATGTAAATCAGAAAACATAAGAAAGAAATGGACCTGAGGGAATACAGTGGACTTTCAATAAACTCAGAGTGTGCAAGATTACAACTCTATCTGCTCAACAACAACAACAAAAATATGATCAAGAGAAAGAACTAGATGTATCGGTAAAGGGTCATCATAAAGAGACAATCAAAGCAACAAAAACATATGCAAACAAAAACGGACAAGGGGTTTGTAAATACCCCAACAGACACATAAACACAGGAAGGGCATCACGCCGGTCGTCTTAACTTCCCATGACTTTACCTGGTGCCCATTTAAGACTGGGAAGATCTGTAAGCCGAGGACATTTGAAAAAGATTCGTCATTGTCAGGACCTGAACTCACGACATACTGATCCTCAGGCGAGCACCTAGCCTCTACCCAACGTCGGTTCCCATATAGATATAAGTCATGGATAATAAGTAATTCAGTCGTTTTAAAAGTGACAAGGACCGAAGGCAATTTACCAATAGCCTTTTTTTTACGGTACGTAACAGTTTTGATGATGATGATGAACAATTCTCAGAATCAGCACCTTTTTTAAAGCATCCTTCTTTCGTCGCTACTTTAATGGACACGTTGTGGGTGTACTGGCACCCTCTGTTATAAACCTGGTGGTGAGTACCGGCACCCTCCTTGTCACAGATATCAGACATTTATCATATTTTGGCAACATTATAAGAAGAAAGAAACTGGGACATGTGACGACTGAAAAGATTTGAGAAAACAGAGACAGGAAAACAACACAGGAAAATTTTTTTACAGGTTAAACAAAAACAAAAAAGTTGTTGCTATAGTACGAAAGCACCTGACCTCATACCTGTAATTAAAGACTGCAAGTTGTATTTTTTTTTTTTTTTACACAGTCGAAACGGTTGATTTTAATGTATTTCTGTCTCATATAGTTAAACACAGCTGGTTTTAATTATTTATTTCTTACACAGTCAACACAGCTGATTTTAACGTTTTTATTTCTTACACAGTCAACACAGCTGATTTTAAAGCTTTTATTTCTTACAGTCAACACAGCTGATTTTAACGTTTTTATTTCTTACACAGTCAACACAGCTGATTTTAACGTTTTTATTTCTTACACAGTCAACACAGCTGATTTTAACGTTTTTATTTCTTACACAGTCAACACAGCTGATTTTAACGTTTTTATTTCTAACACAATCAACACAGCTGATTTTATCGTTTTTATTTCTCACACAGTCAACACAGCTGGTTTTAACGTTTTTATTATTTACGCAGTCAACACAGCTGATTTTAACGTTTTTATTTGTACACAGTCAACACAGCTGATTTTAACGTTTTTATTTCTTACACAGTCAACACAGCTGATTTTAACGGTTTTATATCTTACACAGTCAACACAGCTGGTTTTAACGTATTTATTTCTAACACAGTCAAAACAGCTGTTTTTAATGAATTTATGTCTTTTATAGTTGAACACAGCTGGTTTTAATGTATTTATTTCTTAAACAGTCAACACAGCTGGTTTTAATGTATTTATTTCTTAAACAGATAACACAGCTGGTTTTAATGTATATTTATTTCTTAAACAGTCAACACAGATGGTTTTAATGTATTTATTTCTTAAACATTCAACACAGTTGGCTTTAACGTAACGCTTTCCTGTGTAGTTAAACCATGTTCAATGTGTCTATTTTCAGGATGAAAAGAACCAGATTTTAACTCTCAGTGTTTGGCTTCGGCAGGTAAGTCTGGATTCAAGCTTGTTGTGTTTAAGTGTGGCCACTTAAAACTTAACCGTTTTGTTGTTGGTGTCGGTCTGTCATGTTTCCTACACAAAAACAGTTATTCCCACATGAATGATTACTGCAAGGTGTCAAACAAATTTAACAACCGAAACACATGCATAAACACACACACACACACACACACACACAAGGGGTTTCTGGGGAAAGATCATGTACAACTAAATGGGTCTATCTGTCTATCGGTCTGTCTGTCTGGCGGACTGTCAGTTGGGCCTTCCGTCCCTCCATCTTTCAGTTTTCTGAATGTCTGTCTGGATGTATGTCTGTGTATGTTTGTGTTTAATCCGTGCTCGCTCTCTTCCTCCTTTCCTCTTTATTTGTAATTTTTTCTATTTCTCTTTTTCTCTCCCACCAACATTGATTGATATTTTGAACACGACCCCCTCTTTTACACACACTTGCATACACATACTTTCACACACATACATGCACGCACATCTTCACATACAGTAAGAAAACTCTTCGTCTAAAATATTGTTAATAAAGTAAGTGCAAAATTAACCACATACAAATTACAAAGATTATGCTGCCATTAGCATCTTGTTGCTTTCGCTAAAGAATTAAACTGACACAGAAAAAAAACCTTGTGCCAAAGATCCAGAAATAGAATAAACGGAAGTGTAGAGGAACGACAAAAAAGAAAGAACAAAAGTGATCAGGCTACATGTATGTAGAAAGAAAGAAACACAATTTTGTTGCAATTGAACAATAATTTGTGTTTTAATTCCAAATAACAGTAATTGAACTAAGGTACGAAATGACATCACAAGACAGAGACATTCCCATAATGCACTGTGCCCCACTCCTCAGTATCTAAGGCAGAGTTGTAGTCGGAAGATGTTATGCCAGTAGTAATCCACTAAAAACCCAAGAATAAGTGCTTTTTTTTTTCGAGACTCGCCTCTGTATCTGCAGAGATAGGGAATCTGAAAGGAAGAAGTTAACATTACAGGATTCGCTGGCCCCTGGAGTGACTGAACGTTTAGCATGGATGTTACTAGGAGGAGAGGGGAGAGAAGGAGGAGGAGAATAGAGGAGACGGAGTAGTCGATAAGACGGCGAGGATAAATATTTAGAGGCAAGAAGATAAAAACAAATTAACGAACAGGTTAAAAGTTTGTTGGAAAAACATGTGACTTGTGTCATATCCCTATATATGCAGTTTTATGAAACTTATATATATATATATATATATATCCAGCCTCGACATACACATCCCTAAAATATACAACCACTTGACACATTACACCAGCGATTCTCAACCTGTCGGTGGCGACTTTTTTGGGTGGATCGACTCTTTAACAGGGGTCGCTTAAGACCATCAGAAAAAAACATATTCATTGAAATTATGAAGAAAAATGATTGGGGGTCACCACAACATGAGGGAACTGTATTAAAAAGTGCCTGTAAGTTCTCCGTTCTACTTCTAACTCAAGTCTGAGTCCAAAGAGGCTCAACACAGTGTACAGGCTCTGTAGCACCGGCGAGAATCCGTGTTCAGGCGTATTAGTAAAGGATAATTTTCATTGTAAATAGATTTCTAATGTATTTTAAGACGCGAGAGCGGATAGAGATATTTAAATACTAATACAAAAGGCAAGAGGAACTTTCATACCATTAGGAAATGTGTTGAGGTTAAAAGAAAATAAAACTAATGCTAAACTTAAAATTGTAATTGTAATGTCAGATCAATACTGTTGTTAGGAACGGAAACACGGAGAACAATTAAAACAGTTACTAATGAACTTTAGACATTCATTAACTTTTGTCTGCACAGAATTGAGGGGAAGTAAATGGTGTGATAAAATCACTTATGTAGAACATCTTAACGGAACTAAACAAGTTTCAGTGGAGCAAGAGGTAAATCAAGGAGGGTGGCATTAGATATGACACACTTTGGAAAAAACCTAAGTAAAATATTACTAGAATGTATTTACACTGGAACCCACAGAAACAAAGAAATAAAGATAGACATTAAAAAACATATGGTGAATGGAGCTAGAGCCTGAAGTTTAAAAGATGGGGATGACATGTGATGATCTGCATGCATTAGAGAAAAATGTTTGCCATAGAGAATGATAGATTGGCTTGGCGTAAGATGGTAAAAGGTTTATTCTCCATTTAAGGATAGAAAGTAGAAAAGAAGGAAAATACCCCAAGGTACTCCAGCCACCCGTATAGGTGACATTATTTGCTACAGCAATCGAATTCTGTAGCACCAGTGAGGATCCAGCTACTGAAGAACTGCTCGCCCCACGAAAGAGAGTCTGCGCATCTCCTTAGGTTATAATCGTTTGCCTCCCTTTATGTAGATTGTACCTTCCATTCACCTGCCTCGTTTCATTTATGAGTGCAATTTTTAGGGAGACCCATGTGGATCGTCGCTGGAGCTACGGAGTTCGTTTTATGTGCGACTTTCTTGACATGCATTTGACCGTTCTAGAGAGGGAGATGGGGAGAGAGGGACTGGGCCGTAAAAGATAAAAAGCAACAAAAAAAAATAATAAAGTCGATCCTGGCAACTTAAAACTGTTACACGTTATGATAGTATATGAAGCCAGTGATCCTGGCAACTTAAAACTGTTACACGTTATGATAGTATATGAAGTCAGTGATCCTGGCAACTTAAAACTGTTACACGTTATGCTAGTATATGAAGCCAGTGATCCTGGCAACTTAAAACTGTTACACGTTATGATAGTATATGAAGCCAGTGATCCTTGCAAAATTATTTCGTAAGCCTATATTTCAGGGAAACCGACAAATTCCTAGGACGTCAAAACACTTGGACCAAGCTTAAATCATTAACACTAATATTATCTCAGAAAGGAATTGCCAAAGCGATGGAATTTTTCCTTAACTAATCGTAAAGGGAAAACACAGACTCAGAAAAGGCCAATCAAGATTCCATTAGTGGACAGAAACAAAAACAGAACACGTGATACTGACCACGGCGCGGACAGCCGTTCTTGATCTATTTCCCACGTCTGCATTTTGTCTCAGACTGTCCGGAGTGTAATTGTTCCATGGACAGTGTCCAGGGAAATATGGGAGTGACCACATAATTGGTGTTAATAACGATCTTCCTATGTCCTATCCCATACTGACTTAGTATATAGCCATAGTATCACGCCTGTATTCATGGTTTCCGTGTGTACTTTTAGAGAACAGGGAAATTATATTTATTGCAAATAAGTAACTTGTTGTTCTGTGTGATCACTTTCACTACCGGAAAGCCTAATAGCATAAGTCTGAAATTAGAAGAGGGTAAGGGGACACACCATTAAGAACTATCTTGAAACGTCAGAAACAGCCATTGTTGAAGACATCATTCTTAAGGAACAGAAGCTTATGAACTTACATCGCGGTGACTGACATTCACGAAAAATAGTGAGTGACGCCTCATGCGTTGATGGGAGTGACAAGACTAAATAAAGTTAGTGGCGTGATATCATCAGAAGGCTTCCACAAAGTCTTCACACTTCTTCTTCTTCTGTGTTCGTCCTCAAAATGGTGGTTGGTAAATAGAAGATATATATATGGCAGCTAATCCAATCCCGACTTAAACTCAATGTTTTTATTTATGTCAGCGCCCGCCCATACCAGAATTGTCCTGTCAAGATTATTTACGGCTAGATAGCCCTATTAGGACAGTAAAAACATGTCTTTTATCTCTTTCAAGGCAACAACAATGACATGTTTCAAAACCTACAGCTGTGTGGCTTTCAAGTAAATATATGTCACCGGAGCCCTCACGGGAAGCAAAGAATAGTGACACTGCACCCTACCATGCATGTCGTAAGAGGCGACTAAGGGTAGGGTTGGGCTTGAGGTTGGCTACCTCATCCTGTAAAAACCATAGCTACAAAAACCAACCAACCATGGATAAGTCAAAAAGAGAAGCAAATAAAATCCAGCCAACCAAGATGAGGGGAGGCTCTTCAAATAGAAGAAGTATGACACGGAAAAAAAGCAGGAACTGATAGAGATATTAAAATAAGAAAACAAAAGGCAAAAGGGGCTTTCATAGCACTAGGGAATTTGTCGAGGTCAAAAGAAATTAAAAGAAATACTAAACTAAAAATTTTTAATTCTAATGTCAAATCAGTACTATTGTATGGGGCGGAAACACGGAGAACAACCAAGGCAATTACTAATAAATTACAGACATTCATTAACTGGTGCCTGCGCAGAATAGAGGGAATAAAATGGTATGATAGAATAACTAATGTAGAACTTTGGGAGAGAAAACTAAACAGGCTCCAGTGGATCAGGAGGTGAGGAAAAGACGCTGGCGTTGGGTAGGGCACACACTGAGAAAACAGGAGAACAGCATAACTAGAATGTCTTTGCATTGGAACCCACAGGGGCATAGGAATAAAGGAAGGCCAAAAAACACATGGAGAAGAGAGCTGGAGAATGAGGTTAGAAAGATTGGGAGGACATGGGGAGAGCTCCATGCAATGGCGAAGGATAGAACGACTTGGCGTGAGTTGGTTGAGGGCCTATGCTCCATTGGGGGATAGAAAGGCAGAAGAAGAATTAGCTAGAACATAGTTAGAGAAAGTCAGATGAATGTGAGAGGTCAAAACTGTGTACACAAGGGATTTGAATAGTCGTAGACCACGAGGCAGATCAAGAAGACGATGGACAGAAAACATCAAGGCCGACCTGCAAATACTTTATGTCACCAACTGGAAATGGAAGGCCAGCCAGAGAGATGAAGGGAAAAATAAAAGCGGTTAGGGGGTTGTGGGGGGGGGGGGGGTTATATTTGTAGCGATGAACCTCAAGGGTTCCGAATGCTGAGGAAGAAGAAGAAGAATATCCATTCTGGACTACGTAAAACAAAACATCAATGAGTGCATCTGATCTAGCTTTGTATGATGCTTCTTCTTCTTCTCTTGCCTTTTTTTTTACCTCATTTAGGTGTTTGAGGGAGATGTTCGGATCGTTTGTGCGCTTTTTCCAATGCATTGTACAAGTTTGTGTTCATTTCTGTTAGGTTGCTCCTGATGATGTCGATCCATTCTTGCGTTGTCTTCCCCTTGCTGTGTGTTCATTATATATCTTCAGCGTGGCTCTCTGTGGCAGTTGGTACCAGGGCATTCTCGTCTGTGAAAAAAAACCCACTTCTAATCTGTTGTTCTTGATGAATTGTGTGACTGGTTTCAATCCTAGTCTTCTTCTAATTTCCTTATTCTTGATGTTATCTCTTTTTAATACACCGACAGCCATTCTAAGACATATCATCTCTGCTGTTACTATCTTCCGCTCATTAGGTGTAGTTAGCGTTCATGTTTGGCACTGATAGCATAATGTCGGCCGAAAAACCGACAAATTGTGCTTAAGTTAGCAAATAAATCAAGGTGACAAAGATCGCGTAAACCACCGTTAAAAGCCAAAAAGGCGCCAATTTTTTATGGACGACCTGTTTAACAGCCATACTGGACTCGAAGCGATTAAGTATATCAACACTCAAGTTCAGTAACATTATTTAACAGCAGATAGGTCAGATAACCGAAGAGTGTAACTGGTATAAAATGGAAAGTCAAGACAAGCGATGTGTACGTAAGGTGTCTGGAGAAGATGCATGCATGTCTTGATGGATTACTCACCCAATCAAAGAGAAATGGAAATATACCGGGAAAGGTCTAGAGGTGAAATGGATTAGTTTCTCTAAAGTAGATAATTTTTTTTGACAATTTTTTGTTTTTAAATATACTGCCCCCCCCCCCCCTTTTTTTTCCCCTTCCCAATCCATTTTCCCACGTCTACAAGCTGAGGGTTTGACATCGACTCAAACAGCCACCAATCGTATGCGCCTCTGAAATAACAAAACCCAGTTCAGCCGTATCATCTTCTTCTTCTTTTCGTTCACTGGCTGTAAACTCTGGTGGAGAGTTTCATCCACCACTTTACTTTAGTCTTTTCAAGAACCTTGTTTTGCGTGTTGATCCGTTTTACAGATCTAGTTTATTTGTATGCAGACTCTTTTTTCTTTTCCTCTCAAGCAAAGGCACTCTGATTTTTGACGAAAGCCCACATTACTCGGCCCTTTCGACATGCTTGTTGCAAAGGCAGTGGGTATATTTTTGTTTTCCCCACAATAGGGCCTTGGAATCCACATAGGGAGTTCAGCCGTATAAAACAGATTTATTTGGCCTCCTACAGTTAGACAATGTAACAATTTTGTCCATTGTTGGGCATCCTACAGTTAGAAGATCTAACACTGTTGTTCAATGTTGGACATCCTACAGTTAGACGATGTAACACTGCTGTCTAAGGTGGGTAAGTCTACTCAGTCTCTGTACAAGACAGACACTGTAAAGACAGATAAAGATGGTATTGAGACGCTTGAACAGTTGTGGAATAAATAACAACACAAATGTATTTAAACATCTGAAATGTAAGACAGTAACCAGGCCTAATACTTGTGCTCAGCCAGGCGTCTAACGTGCCAGGTAAGACCTAACCAGAAAATACATCCACTGATATTAGTCAGGATGCTCGTAATATAAGGCCTAGATAGTATCGTCTCTCATTCCGACGGATTTCGTTCGTCCGTTGAAACACACGACGGACGTACTGAATTTGTAGCATGTTTCAAAAAAAAAAAAAACCCACTGTATTAGAATAAATCTCCTTTTTTTTAAATCAATATTAGAATAGGAGATAAAACGGATTAAGGAGGCGGAGACACCAAAAGAAACCCTAAGGCAGGCGTTGATAGGCGAGGCCAAAGCTACCCGGACTGGATTACATCCATGTTATTGAATTGAAATCACAGGATAGAACGGAAGAGAGGAATGACTGCGAGCCCTATTTGACACATAATGATTCAACTGAATAAGGAATGACTGAATTAGGAACATTAATATTATTATCATTATTATTATTTCCTTAACTGAGTGTATATTTCTGTATTTAAAAAAAAAATTTTTAGATAGATATTTCCTTTAAAATAAGTATCAGGGCGCATCTGGAGCAAACATTAATATACTTGTTCTGATTTTCACTGAGTGAGTTGAGTTGAGTCAAGAACTGACACCACAGCACTCGGGGCATTCCCATACATGCTCCGTCCTCATCTTCAGCAGCCAGCGCAGAGTTCCAATACTGATTGTACCAGTCACATTCTGGTTATGTGTCCGTCTTGCCTTTACTC